AGATGGGATAATACTGCATGCACTTTTCTACATACCTACTTAAATAAATATATACACACACGTTTATACAAGTGTATATTTTTTTTAAACAAAGATGGGATAATACTGCATGCACTTTTCTACATAATGCTTTCCTCACCCAGCATTTTCTGGTAGAACTACCTTTAGGTCAACTTGTACAGCTGTAATTCATAGCTTTTTAATAGCTTCATACTATTTCATGGTAAGAGCAGTTCCATCATTTACTTGGCCATTCCGCTATTGATGGACATTCACATTGTTTCCACATTTTTTCTGAGAAAAAGAGTGTAATAAATATCTTCGAACTTGCAATTTTATGTGTTTTTAATTTTTTATTTCTGTAGGCTAGATTCCTGAGAATAAGATTATCATCAAAGTATATAGCCAATTTTGGTGTATGTTATTTGATGGCTCTCTAAAAGATATTTTTCTAGAAAATATAAAATAAATATTGGTATAAATATTGCTAACATTAATTTTTAACCATTACATTGCATTAAAATATTTCTCTAGATATAAAATTTTCCTATTAATCCTGCTTATTATTTCTTTTATGATATGAGTTAATTTTATATAAACATCTATATTTTCTATGGTAACTTTTTTTTAAATTGAAGTATAGTCAGTTACAATGTGTCAATTTCTGGCATACAGCATAATGTCCCAGTCATGCATATACATACATATATTCATTTTCATATTCTTTTCCATTAAAGGTTATTATAAGGTATTGAATATAGTTCCCTGTGCTATATAGAAGAAATTTGTTTTTTATATATAGTGGTTAACATTTGCAAATCTCGAATTCCCAATTTATCCTTTGGCACTCCCTTTCCCCTCAGTGATTAGTGTTTGTTTTCTATGTCTGTGTTTTCTCTTTCTGTTTTGTAAATAAGTTCATTTGTGTCTTTTCTTCTTTTTTAGATTCTACATATGAGTGATATCATATGGTATTTTTCTTCTCTCTTTTGCTTACTTTACTTAGAATGATGATCTCCAGGTCCATCCTTGTTGCTGCAAATGGCATTATTTTATTCTTTTTTTTTATTGCTGAGTAGTATTCATTGCATAAATATACCACAATTTCTTTATCAAATCATATGACCACCTCCTTATTTTCTTCTTTACCTGTCTCTCACCTAATCCTTCTAAGACTTACTCAACTTCCCAGAACCAGAAGTCACTTCCTGTGTATTCACCCTGTTCCTTCCCTCTATTCAAGGCACAGGTCATTCTGTCTTCCCTGTACAAACTTGCTTAACACATTGTGTTATACTTGTCTTGAGTTTGTCAGCCCTACTGGACTGCAAGTTTCTAGAAGACAGAATCAATGCCCTGTTCACCTTTATTAAATGCAGCACCAAACACTGTGCTTTAATATGGAGCTACTCAACATTTAGTGGACAAATGACATTTTTAAGTCATTTTATGTAAATTCTTACTTTATATCTGGTTTAAATGACTTCATTAGTGCTTGTAAAAAACAGGCTGAGAACAGAAGATTGGGTTAACTCGGTATTCAGAATGAGATGAGAACAATGCATATTTGTGATGCTTAATAGATGTTTTAGAGGAAAAAAAAAACATGTATTCATTGTACCACAGACTCTGGATTACAACACAGAGGGAATAAGAACACATATATGTTTTTTGATTTTTGGATAAGGACTTATCCTGCTTGAGTGATGTGCATAACTTTGAGAATATAAAATGAGGGTGATACTGACACAGTTCTTAGATGGCCACCACCCTTGAGGCTACCCTGCTGCTTTAGAGAATTTTCACTTGCTATTTTTCTGTCAGAAATATCCTGTATCCTATTGAGTAAAATTTCCTGTTGAATGTATGTATAATGTAGACAACAATATGTTATTAGATCTTCTTACTTTCTTATTTTCATCTTTGTCTACTTCTTTGATTATTGGGGAAGAAAATTTGAAAATATAAACATTAAAAATGAGAGGCTTGACTTTGCATAATTCTTAATCAAAATCTTTTTTTTTCTTAACAGAACCAGTCAACTTGTGAACTATTGGAGTCAAATATAAAGAGGTGATTATCTTGAAACCTAGGGTTTGTTTATGTTTCTGTAATATTTACTGTTCAGAAGGCAACAGTAAACTCAAATTTAACCTAAAATTAAATTTGGACTTAAATCAGCATGTAGTTCCTGGAAGATAATAGGTGCTCAATAAATATTTATTGGATCAAGGACTGATGAATTGTGGTAACAGACAACCTCATTGGTAACTTTTTATATTTAGAGTTGTTTTTATAATACTCACACCCAACATTCTCTAGCTGATGGCTCTTAAAAAAGAAAGGTAATCCCAAAAATGTGCATTTGGAAGAAACTAATATTGCTCAAGGACTTCAACAGGAAATCTATGTTTGGCTTCTTTCCTCTTGGCAATCTAGGGCCAAAATCTAGCTTCTATGGACAAGCTTCTGGCAGTGTTTTTTGAGCACTTGTTCATGTGAATTTTTTTGTGGTTTTGGTGCCAAATGTAAACAAACTGAAAAAAAAAAAAAAAGAAAACTAAAACTGAATCTAAAAACAGACCTGTCTCCAAAATTTGACTTAGGAATACAGGCCTTAGTCTATACTTTATTGGGCAAATGATAAACACATTAAAGAAGTTTGGTGGGCAGCAGTTCTAAGAAACGCAAAATGATTTAAATTTTGTGGCACCATTCTAGGCATTTGGAAGAGAAATCAGAGAACAGAATTCACTTATAGAACCTGTTAAACAATGTATCAATTCTTTAGCAATAAATTAAAATATAAAATATTGCCCAATCTTCACCTTAGCCAACATTCCATTCTCCCAACATCTGGGAAACTGGGCAGGGGAGGAAACAGACTGCTTCTAATTACTCTATGTCAGCCAAAGATTGCTTAAACTTTTAAAGTATGAGATGGAGTAAGGGAGAATACTAAAAATAGTAAATAGTTTTTACAAACCTTTCACAGATTGTTAACTTGAAAAATAAATGAACGCAGACAGCTCTAGTTTTCTTCTTTTGCCCTTGGCATCATTTTCCAAATATTTGACCCTGATGGAAAATTGTTATTTTTTGACAATCCCCATCAGGGTTCTATGAACCCTCCCTGTGTACCAAAGAAAGAAACTGGTCCTACTGGTCTGCTCCACAACAGTGTGGTTGAATCACAAAATGGACACAGACACAGAGAGAAGAAAATCTGGCTCTCAGAAGCATCTAACTCAAGTGACATTTGATACAGTCAATTTAAAGGCAGTTGGAGGGCAAAGATGAATCAAAGGAAAGAATAACTTTCTAGAACCCTCTCTTCTTCCTAAATCCGATCTCCTTTCACCTGGCCAGGAGCTAATCTCTTTTTAAAAAAAAGACTGCTGGACTAGCCTACCATTCAAAATCTTGTCTTTTTTTTTTTTTTTTGAAACAATGAATTCAGACCATACCAATTTTTTTTTTAAGCTAAGAAATTCTAAGGCTGACTAATGAGTTTCCTCCAAGACTTTCCAGATCTGAACAAATTGTGCCTCCATCAGGTTCTCCTTGAAGCTTCTTCCCATACTTAGCTGGGAGAACAGATGAAAACAGCACAGGAGTGAACTGGAGTGGACAGTTTCTCTGGTAAAATAAGCCAGCAGATGAGACCAAATGTAATACTATATTAATGTCAGACTTAGAAAAATCTTGTCCTCATGTACAGTTATATAGACCATGCATTTTGAACTTTAGATCCTTCTGATTATGAGCCATAAAGAGCCTCCTAGGAAAGAAAATTGTCCATAGATAAGACTTCCCATGTGTTTTTGGTCTTTGTGACCAATGATTAAATCTTACCTAGTCTTCTGTTGTCTTCCACATCTCAAGTAGACTCTGAGATGAGGATTCATGTACAAGTTATGTACTGAGAAAGTGCCCCCACAAAGAGGTCATGAAGTGGATAAGAGAAGCAGGACAAAGAGGGGAAGTATCCAAACAAAGCTACAATTTCAGGTAGAGTGCTAGCTTCTGCCTGATCTTGCAGGAGAGCAGCTCAAGAATGTAACTTATACTTCAGAGTTTGTCCCAACTGGAGGCCAGTAGTTCATCTTTCATAAGCCCATATCAGTTATCCATTGGCCACCTAGGAAGATATAAACTACTAGGCACTTGGACAGTTTACTGAGTGTGGGTAAACAGCTCTAGTAGCCAAGGGCAGTTCTCAAAGTTAATTACAGATGCAGGCCATTTAGAAGTAAAGATATGCAGAAGCCCAACAAGAGGTACACAGAACCCATAAAAGGGATTCAGAAGGATCTGGGTGGACCATCGACAGGGTTGCTATAAGTACTAGTTGTCATGGTAGATACACAAAAGATAAAGGGATCAAAGCATATTGCTACAGAAACTCATTCACATAGGCAGGTAGAAAGAGAGAAGAGAAGAAAGGAACAAGGGAAGTACAACATAGCCAGAAAACAATAATAAGTAAGCCAGAAAGAGAAAGAAAAACACAATATGATATCACTCATATGTGGAATCTAAAAAAAAAGACACAAGTGAACTTATCTACAAAACAGAAACAGACTCACAGACAGAAAAAAGGTGATTTAAAAAATCTTTTTAAACAAGTGTGGCTGAAGTAACTGTAGAGAACTAGATGAAAACCTTGAAGGATTCTGTACTGAAATTGACTGTAGGTTTAGTTGTTTTGTTGAAACCCAAACAGAAAATAACTCCAAACCCCTAAAACTATAACTTCTAAGAACTATTCTGTATAGGGCTGTGGTTGATGTAATGGAAAGTAAGTGAATCTCCAGTTATCAAATCTGTACTCAAAATATTAGCAAACAATTGCATACTTATATGCTTTATGTTGAAATAATATTTTCAAAAGGTATGGGTCTTATTTTTATCATGATTCTCCACTTAACATAACTTTATTCAGCTGATCAACCAACTAATCCAAAACTCACAGGCAGAAAAGAGAAGGAAGGTCTTACTTTTGGGAGCTGAGATTTTTCTTTCATGCTTTGATGCTCACTTCCCTCAAGTTTGACACTAGTTGACCTCTGACACCTCCATCATCTTGACAGCTTTGACCTCACCTTCTCCCTCTCCTCCATTCCTGGCTTCTATTGCCTGTGCTGCCATCTGATTCCAAACTTACTTTTCATTCACCTAGGTGACGCCGTGGGCTCATTCCTCTCTCTCACCACACCCAGCGGTTCCATCCTCCACGCTCCTGAGACATGGCACACTTTCAGCATCCTCAGCGAGGGAGCAAATGGTGGAGTGGATAAATGCAGGGAGCACAGGGGAGTCCCTTGGTGGTGGGCACCACCTCAGGTGTTCACAGCGCCCGAGGCTGTGACGCTCTCCAGTGCTCTCACACAAATGTGGGGGCCTCCATGCCCACTGGACATATCCTGCCAGAGCTGCAGAGCTCTTACTAGGGACAGGTCAGCTACAGTGTGGCCAGTTCACTCAGGAGACTTCAGAGGATGGCTCTGCTGTTCCTAAGAGAGGCTGTGGTGCTGGCCCCCCATTTGCCCAGCCTCTAATCCCCATGAGGACTCAGACAATTGGCTGCCCCACGTGCCCAGCTGGGCTAGTCTCTTCCTTCCCTGAAGTGCTGGACTAGTTCTTGAGCGAAGAGAAATGATCTGCTGTGAAAATGCAGGACAGCCCTTCCCTCACCCTTCTGGAGGCCTCTCCTCAGAGTTCATCCAGAAAAAGTCTAAATGGAGAGAGAGAGACAGGCAGACATCTCAGTCCTGGGGTGTTCTCCCCACTCTTGGCATCTGCCTTGCCTCCAGCATCTGGGTTGTCAAGGGTTCAGGCCCTTTAAAAATGCCATCTTTGTGGAAGTTAAGTGTTGTACCACGGACAGCTGATGCTTTTTAAATGCTGGAGTCCAGGAGAACTCTGACCAGGCTGTGAGAGAAAGGCCATCTGAAGGAGCTACACACACAGCCCACACTGTGACTCACATGCCGCAGATACGTTCAACAAAGTGGACCAGCTGTATCCCAGACCATTCCTTCTGGAAGGAGCCCTGTGTCTGTTGGAAGATGCCTTGGAGCACCCATGGCCGGGATCTGCTGGGGTCACAGCATCTAGGTGAGTAGTTGCTCTGCTAAAGCTGAAAAGACACTTTATAATCTTGTGTTTAGATGGGGTGAGGGCAGTGGTGAATCAAATTTGCAAGGTTTTCGATGCTTAGGGCCTTGGGTTTGGGCACGGTGAAAAGATTGGTTGTGGGAGGTGCCACCCTAGGGGGTGGTATTTAGGCTGAGGCCTGGCTGGAGAGGTGGGAGGAGAGTGTTCCAGACCCTGAGGTGGGGATGGGCCTGGTATCTTGTGAGAGGACAGAAGGCACTGGCGTGGTTGGGCTGAGGAAAGGACTATGTGTGATGAGGTGCAGAGGGAGGGCCCTGTGGGTCTTGTTGGCCAGTGTTTGGGCTCTGGGAGAAACTACCCTGGACATCTTGCATCCTCTGACTGTCTTTGTGTACTCCCTAGCTGCATGGACATTTCCCTCACTGTGAGTCTCACTGTCCTAAGGTAGAAATGACACATTGGTTTTCCAGCCTCCTTTGCAGCCAGGGCCTGTCATGTGACCCTGGGTGCAGTCATGTGACTCAGTCCCCACCAATGAGAGTTCTGGGGATCTAATGTACAGCATGGTAACTATGGTTAACCATACTGTATTATATAATTAAAGCTTGCTAAGAGAGTAGATCATAAATATTCTTACTGAAAAAAAAAGAAAGATGATAATTATGTGAGATGATGAAGTTTTGGTATCTACTACTATGGTATCATTTCACAATGTATAAGTGTAATCAAATAATCATATTGTACACCTTAAACTTACACAATGTTATATGTCAATTATATCTCAATAATGCTGGGGGGAAAATCTGGGAAAGAAGTTTGAAGCCAGATTTTTGGGCCTTGAATATCCAGTTAGGGTGTTTATATTTAATTATTTAGGTATTGGCTGAAAGTTTTTGAGAAAGCAAATAATATGGTCACAATCACTTAATCCCAGGAATGAATAGAGGCCTGACACATATGAGACCTTCTATAAATGCTAGTTGAGGAGAACTGGATATCTTTTCCAATTCCTCACATGTGAAAAATGAAGATAGTTGACTAGAAGTGCTTTTAAATTAGAATTTTGTAAATTATTATCCTGAAGTATTCAAAAGATCTTTTTAACAAGAAAAACTCACAACTGTTGTGAATCTAAAGATGTCAGATTCTATCTCAATCTATAGATGCCAGAGTAGGAAACAGCTAAAATAAAAGGAGCTATTTTAGTAATTCAAAAGAATTCAACCATCAAGGAATAAAAGAAAACATTGGGCTCCAAGGGTGACTAATGAGAATTAGAACAAAATTATAGCCCTCCTATAAAGAACTTTACATGGCAAATCAAAGATGAAGGCTCATACAGAGTTCTGCAGCAGAAAGTATCCAGGAAATACTGTGGGAAGGAGACAGAGCCACACGCTGGCCCTGAATGCACCAGAGCAAAAGATCTTTGGAATTATATGTCCAGGAAAATTGAAGGCATCTGCTGTTTCAGCTTTGTTTATAGGACCTTATAAGAAGGAAAGGCAAGGGGAAAAGAACAAAGAATCTCCAAGAAAAGGACTCTAGGTCAATAATGACTTGTATGTAGTTGATGCTCTATCAATATTTATTGATAATAATTGGTGCACAGAAATGGTGACACACACAACAGCATTTTAAAAAAAAAGGAAGTGTCTTAAAGAATAACTATTTGTGGAAATTTGGTTAAGGGGAGATGCTGTGTGGTTTAAAACTCCATCAGACAATCCAGGAAACCCATGGTGCCCATAGACCTCATCTCATGAAGTGAGTGCAAGTGATGCTGCCTTCACATTTTTGCCACAGCATCCTCTTCTCTGGTCCCAGTGATTGGACCAAGGGTTAGTTCTTGAGCAAGGGGAGGGTAGGTCAGGTGCCTAGGAAACAGTGCTCAATGGGCTTCATATTGAAAGGTGACGAATGGAGCCTACCAGATACAAGATGCCCACAGAGAAAAGAGGAGTGATAAGCAATAGTAGAGTGAGACCCAATGCCTGGGACATCTGGAGCTACCACTGTGTCCCAAACAGTCAGAAATCACTGTTTCTGATTCCTTGAGCTGGTTCTACACTAATGCTGCAGTTCTACAGGACTACACGTCTCCCCCGATAGTTCCACAGGCTTCCTTGACTCTATATGTATTGTTACAGTACGTCCACATGACCTGAGGGTATCTCAGCAGGTTTCCTTGCATCCTGAAAGAAACTATTATAGACTTCAGTTGTAAATACATATCATATGTGCAACTGTTGGGTAAAAAAGGAGAACTTACTCACTCTAATAAACCAACTTTTAAAATTGTTATTACTGTCCCAGCAAATCTGCTCTGTGGGTTAGCTCTTCCCTACCCCTTAGATAAAATCCAGGAAAGGATGTATAACTTTTCTGGTTATTCTTAAGTAATAGAAGTCTTCATTTCTATCAAAATACCAGTCTCTGGTATTTTACTATTACTATACTAGGTTGGTGTACTTAAAGTAAGGCAATAGACAAACAAAACCTTCTAAACACGAGTTAAAGTTAAAGGCGCTCCTCTCCCCGAGCTAGGCCTGCAGCAGGCAAGAAGCAAGCTGTGGAAAAGGGGCTGGTCAGTGTCTCCTTTGCTTACTCTCCAACTCCAACCTGCCCATTGATCAACTCCACCAGGGGGAAACAGGGGGTGGGGTCAGGAAAGATTTTGCTTGAACAGCACCCATATGATGCTAGTTTTCTTCAGCCTTGAACAGTATTCAAAGGTGGCTCTCCTGTGGGTACTTTTATGGGTTCTTCAGAGACTCACCTCCACCCCAGTTGCCAGGGATCTCTCACCTGGAGTTTCTAGATGTGGGCACTGTACTTGTCAGGGGGCTACAGAGGACTCCCAACTCAGCCTGTGGCCGTGGACTGTATACCTTCAGCATCTCTCTCTGCTAAGCAGTGTCTCCTCGGCATTTCATGGAAGCATCTAAAATAGCAGCTCTCTGGCTGTCCCTCCTGGTCCACTAGGACCTTCTGCCCTGGAAATACAGTCACTACTTACCCATAGTGCGTTCTAAATTATGCTACTTGGGTTTACCTATTGCCCTCAATGTTCCCCAGGTAGGAATCAGACCCTAGTCTGTTGTGCACTCCAATTACCAATCTCTCCTTGAAACCCTCCTCTCTAGCCTTGAAGTGATAAAAAAGCTCTCTCAACACCTCCCTGTGAGGGGAGAGTTGGGCCTATGGGACTCAAACTTAAATCCTCTCTCTGAAAAAATCCTTCTAATCTCCAAGTTTTTAGCCACATCAACACTTTTATATCCAATTTTAGGGCAGCTTCTTTGCAATCCTGCATAGCTAAGCTGGAGTCTCACTTCAAAATGGAACAGTAATCTTGGGGCCTTGGCCAAAACGAATTTGAAATAGTTCCATTTTAATATCCTGTTGCATTTGTAAAGACCTTTCTATAATCCAGGAGACTTACAGATTTTTTGTCATTGTTTTACTGTTTTAAAAAATTGGCAACAATCTATCCATTAGGAGCCTAATTTTTTAAGTCTAGAGAGTACAGTCTAACAGAACTAAATGAGATAGCCAATGAAAAGTCCTTAGCACTTGACATATAATAAATGCTAATAAACACTAGCAAATATTATGATTATGATTATTAGATATCCTTTCACCTACAATAAGAAAAAGAAGTGGATTTGAGCATCGCAGTTGTTTTAACACTTTAATAAATATTTGAGGTCCATTTAGCCCTTTTGATCTCCATGAAGTTGATGAGTATATCTGAGGTAATCACTCTGTTGAAAACCATCTTAACTCCTCTTGGCACACCCATGGGGAAATCTGCTGATTAATCTAAGAAGTGAAGGATAATATATAAAAATATACATTCCTTAGAGGACAAGCCATCATACAACTCCTGAATTTGAGCTGTTCAACATCTGAGATAGAATTCATGCTTGAGACCTCTGCCCTCAAGAACATGGAGTTTCATAATCTTTGTTCCAAAAATCTCATTTCCTTTCATTTGAATCCTACAATGTTTCCTATGGTGTGTTTTCAAGTAATTAGTTTTACATTATAACCAACACATCTTGCTATCACCACCAGAATGCAAAATAGGCGTGTACTATTTTATGATTCAAGTAACTCAAAGCCTCACCTATTACAAGAATAATTTCTTTCCTTGTAGAGTTTTTCCCTTAGAAGCCAAAAGCCCCAGGGGATTATTCAATGTAATACCTATCCTGTTGCCTCTCAGAAAACCTGCTTGGTATGCTGGAGTTCCTCATTCTCTATGGCTATTGCTGAGGTTCCTGCAAAAAGAGCTGGACATTCTGTAATGCATGTAGAGAAGTGTTGAAGAACACATATGATAAAGCTCTGTGTAAGAGTACTGAAAAATAAATAAATAAATAGGTAGGTAAGTAGGCAGATGGATAAATAATAAAGTTCTCCCACCCCAGGGAAAAGAGGTGGTCCTGCACGCCACCCAGGGCCTCTGCT